TCAGGACCTGTCATTGCTTCTTTGTCAAATATTCTTTAAAATCTTGTTAGTCGAGACCATTACTAATCTCTTATGTTTGATTGTCATTAGTCTCTTGACTTTGTGTACAATCATAAGTTCTTTTATGTGAACTTAATTCCTGTCCTTTTTTGTAAGGAAAACATGTTCAAAAAACACAGCATTCCTTGACTTTATAGTAGTATTCACATTTATATCAGGTATTTCTAATTTATAAGTCAGAAACCGATATACACTACTATTTTGAGCATAACCAATAAATACACAATCCACTATTTTTGGTCCTATCTTAGTCTTTTTCGAAACAGAAACTTCTACTTTTGCCAAACACCCCCACACTTTTAAGTATTTGTAGAAAGGTAGTCGACCTTTCCACAATTCATAAGGAGTGTTGTTGGTTTTCTTGTGGGTATTCTGCTAAGAACATAATTGGCAGACAATATTGCTTCCCCTCACAAGTTCTGCGGTAAGCTTGAACTTAGTCATATGGCATTCATCATTTCTTTAAGGGTTTTATTTTTCCTTTCAGCAATTCCATTTTGCTGTGGAGAATAGGGTGTTGTAGTTTGATGAATAATGCCATGTTGTACACAAAATATATTTAAATGTGCATCATATTCACCACCCTTATCACTTCTAACCATTTTAATGGTCTTACCAAGTTGATTTTCAACTTCACTTCTGTAGAGTTTAAACATTTCCAAAGCTTCATCTTTACTTCTAAGTAAATATACATAACAATATCTTGTGTAATCATCAATAAATGTTATGAAATACTTTTTGCCTCCTCTAGTTTGAACAAATTTAAGATCACATACATCAGTATGAATTAATTTTAGAGGTTTGATTTTTCTTTCAACCGATTTAAATGATGCTTTAGTTAGTTTCGCTTCTACACATATCTCACATTTGTGATTATGATCAATTTCAAACTTTCGTATATAATCCAAACCAATTAATCTACGCTAAACATCAAAATTTACGTGTCCTAATTTACCATGCCATAAATTTGACTCAAGAATATAAGCAAAATATATGTTATTATTATTAATAAAAAAATTTGGTACAACAGTCATTACATTCAATTTGAAGAGACCATCACTCATATATCCCTTACCAACATACATACCATTCTTTGTTAATACAAATTTATCAGACTCAAATACAAGCCTAAAACCATTCTTACTTAACAAATAACCAGAAACTAAATTCTTTCGGATGTCTGATACATGCAACACATTGTTGAGGATAAGTTCCTTCCCCAATGTCATCTTCAAGATCACCTTTCCTTATCCAGCAATAGTAGAAGTAGAAAAAATTCCCATGAAAAGTTGTTCACCATTTGCAGTCTCATTATATGTAGTGAACATTTTCTTGTCCGCGCAAATGTGATGAGTTGCTCCTATGTCAATCCACCATTCCTTGGGATTTCCAACCAAATTAGTCTTAGGCACCACAGCAGAGAGATTGATTTCATTTACCCCATCAGAGATGTAATCTAGTTCTATCGCATCGGCTTGATTAGTAGTCTTCTTGCTTGTACTTCCGCGATCCTTCTTAAGGCGTCAGCAATCAGAGGAATGATGTCTAGTCTTGCCACAGTTATAGAATTTATCTTTGAACTTTTTATTGCCATTGTTGTCACCTTGTTTAGAACCATCTCCAGCAAACTTCCTCTTTTTGTTATGTGGTTTGAACACATGTTCAACCACATTAGCCTTGGACTCAATGGGATTTTTACCTTTCCTCTTTTCAGCCTTACGGTTATCTTCCTCAATTCTCAGTCTTACAATCAGTTCATCCATAGTCATCTCTTTGCGTTTATGTTTCAAATAATTTTTAAAATCTTTCCATGCCGGTGGTAACTTTTCCAATAATGCAGGGACTTGGAAAGACTCGCTAAGAGACATATCTTCAGCATGAATATCATGCAAAATTAATTGAAAACTTTGAACTTGAGAAATTACCGTTTAGGAGTTTACCATTACAAAGTCCAGAAATTTACTGACAACAAATTTCTTTGTACCGGCATCCTCCGTCTTGTATTTTTTCTCCAAAGCATCCCATAATTCTTTTGCCATTTTCAGAGGGCTGTAAACATTATACAACATGTTGTCAAGGCCATTAAGGATGTAGTTTCTGCACAGAAAATCAGAATGTTTCTAAGCGTCTACAGCGGCAACAACTTGCCGATCACTTTCATCCTCTTTAAGCACTGGAGCCTCTTCATGGAGAAACTGAGCAAGATTAAGAGTTGTAAGATAGAACAGCATGTTCTGCTGCCATCTTTTAAACTCGGTGCAATTAAATTTTTTTGATTTTTTTCATGATTTGTTGGAACTTGAACATGGTTCTAGATAGGGATCAAAGTCGTTGTAACAATCGAATTGGGAGTACTACTTTCAGCAGCCATAATATCTAATTCTAAAAAATCAAAAAAAAAAAAAATCCAAAACCAAAACACAAATTAATTTGCTAGTTACTCAAACTAGAAAATAAGTTATAATACAAAATAATTTTACTTTTCTAGTTACTAAAACCAAAAAAAATAAAATACCACACAATAATTTTCTGTAACACTACTACACAAATTAATACTCTGAAATTGTTAATGACAAATAGTATAGTACCACTATTTATCAAACAGTATATGACTACTATTTGTATTTTCCAACCAGAATATTTTTTGACTTGATCACTCTAAGAAAATTAGTATATTCTATTTTTAATTTTATTTTCTTCTTTCATTCTCTATTTCATTTTCTGTTTAGTGTATATAATTAAACAAATTTTGAAAAATCTTTCTTTTAATTTATTTCTTGTGTTATGGTTGTTGTTAAGTACATAAACAGAATTTATTCTTTAAATACATTGAAAATTGTCCAACAATTTTAAGACAGATTCGTCCTCTCTAGGGTGCTTACAGAATTTGGACGTCTATCTCCCAAGATGAAATGATCTTCAATAAACAGTAGCAGCACTACAAATTGTTTGTACAACGAACTCACTTTGTGTATATATGCTTTCTCACAGGAAAAATTAATGCAGCAAAATGCAGAGAGCAAAATCAGAGGTAAGAACGAAATTATTGAATCCAAAATCCAAATGAAAGACTGCCTATTTATAGATGGAATAGTGGCTGTTCAGTTTGAATCCAACAGGTACAAACCTGTTCGGATTGAATTTTGAACAGATATTGAAGCTGTTTGGTTTAAATTCAAACAGATAAAAAACTTGTTCGGTGGAGGAAAAAACTAAACAGATTTCGGAATTGATTTCAAATTTAAATTCCGAAAAATGTAAGAATTTTAATTTTAGAAAAAATAAAATTCATAAAGTTTTTGGCCCAAAAAAGATAAGTATTGGACCGAACAAGCCCAGCCCAACCTCACACTACGCACCCGCGCCCGAGCCTAGCCCTTCCGACGACGACGCGTGTATTTGTTTTGGGTCCAATGGGTCTTGCCCACTTTGCCCATAACCTTCCCCTCTACAAAACTTGAGTGCCCCTTGGGGCCAACCCTAAGTTCCAAACCCAAGCCTTATAAACCCACTCAAAGTTTGCCTACCAAACCAATATGAGACAAACCTTAACTCAAACCTTAATGGAAATTTCACCAAAAACACCATTCATATGGAGCTCACTTTAGTTTCAATTTCTCATTCACCTAATAATAGTTTTGAACAACTAAATATACTACGTGAATTACAAAGCAGCATAGAACGCGTTACCACTTAGACCTGCCAACTTTGGCGATTGAGTCCCACCTAAAAATTAGACCAAAGTTTAGGAAAAATTTATTTTTTTCTAAACCATTTCTAACAATTTTTAATTGAAATTTGACTAAAATCTCATAACATTTTTTTAGTGACGAGGACAACTTAACAACGGTTAATATATAAATTCGTTCAAAATAGATTTATCATGCAATAAGGGCACAAATTCCACACCATTTTTTTTTTAATTGTTGATTTTTCAATTTTTTGTTTTATTCGATCAACATTGAGCCTTTTCGTTTCCAACCAATTGCATTTAAACTGTAAGAGGAATTGAATGACTGATGAACATTATCGCCGTGGAGCCCTCTTTTTTTTTTTATAATTTTCTTTTATTTCATTAGTAAAATTGAATTTTTTAAAATTGTTTCATCTATGTTAGACATATATTTAAAAACATTCAAAATTAATTCCATAATTTTTAAAGTAAGTTGAGTTTTTAGAAGAAAAAAAATCAATTTTAGGTCTTGTTTATTTGAATTTTATATTTAAAATCATAAAGAATTTTAGAAGAAAAATTGAAAAGTGCTGTAAACATCATTTCATAGCATTGGTGGAATTTGATTATCTAAATTATCGTTGACACAAGTAAAATTTCACTACTACAGTCTTATTTTGTAATCAATATGAATTTTATTTGACAAATGTTAATAACAAAAATATAAATGTTATAAAAAAAAATAGATTGGTAAAACAAAATTATGAAATTTAAAATATTAAAAAATTAGATTTAATAATATATACTAGAGGCATTGAAACACTCGTGGTCCTGAGCATCTCTAACCTATATTTTTTTTAATTTTTTCATTAAATTTGGATAAAAAACTGATTTAAAACTTAATTTGATATGGAATGCTCCAATAGTTTTCATCAAATTTAACTAAAAGCATAATTTGGTAATAAAAATAAAAATAAAAAATTGAATGCTTCACTTAAAAATTTCATCAAATCCTTTTTAAAAATTCCAAGCTGATCCTCAAAAACTTATTTAATCAAATTTGGTGAATTTTGTTTTTGTTTTGATTTGATGAAAAAATTAGTGAAAGCTGAAAACATCATTTGATACAAGTTTGATGAACTAATTTGAGGTCATTTTCACCAAATTTTTCATCAAGTTAAATTTGCTATTAAAAAAAAATTGATGAAGCATTACAGATGCTCTTAATACAGTAAAATTTATAATGCTGCCATGTTTCACAACAAACTTAGAGAATGAGAGGACTTTCATAAAAAACCATAATTTTTAAACCTTTGTGACCTGCAATTTCATCCCACAAATATCAAGCCCAAGAACAGAAGCCTAACTAGAGTTCATCAGAACTGAAGATAAGCCTAACAAACTTTGAATTGTAAAAGAAAGAAAAGAAGAAGAAGAAGATTGAGAGCACCCACTTAACTGTGAAGATGTATAACAATGTACTATTTCTTCACATGGGCTCCTATAAAAGAAATACACAACAAAAACATCTATAATTCAGACAAAAGAGAGAAAACATAAAAGATACATGTATGTATGATTTAAAAGAAAGAAAAAACATCCGTAATCAAAACTTGATTACTCTTCATCACCTTTGTTCACATGCTCCCCAACCAAAGCCAAACGACATCCTTCATCAGGCAGGCAGCTTCCACTCTCACCTGCACCTTCAGAGGCAAGCGAACACGGCTTCAAGTTTGTGTCCCTATTTTGCCTCAAACACATCTCCAATGGAATGCTCACCGCACGAACAAGGTTTGCCATACTCAAACCCCCGTCTTCAACCAATATGTCTTCTTCACGGTTAGGATCACAATTCAAGTCTAACTGTCCCTTCTTGTTCTCACTGACATCATTTGGAATTCTATTCTTGATTCTTTCATTCTCCGATAGATTTATAAGGGGCAATGCATGTTTAGACGTGACATCATCCTTGGCAGCAATTTCTGCTTCGCATTCTGATTGGCGTTTCTTTCTACGCAGCATGAGGGTTTTGAAGCGGCGTTTCACGGTTAGGCAAACATTGCAGATACAGGTGGGCTTGTGCTTGCCCTTTCCGCTTGGGGGTTGAATACACACGATACAAGTGCAGCCAGGGCGATGCCGGGGATGTTTGGTAGTGACCGCCACAGCTGGCTCACTTGTTTTGTCTCCATTGTTGTCTGCTAAGAGTACAGCATTCTCTCCTAAGACTGCAGCTGTGGCCAAAGCATCTAAGCCAGAAGACTCGTATTCTGGGGTTACCTTGGCGCTTTCTGTGTTTCTCCGCTTCTTAAAATCTGGAGAAAAAGAGTAGAATCATACAACCAAGATAAAAAGCTTGACAGAACAAAATGCACCAGAAAACTTCAAATAACTAGAAGCCAGTTGGTGATGCATAACAAGATGGATTAACATCTAGCATCAGAACAATTTCATTGTCTGGTGAGTACTGAAGATGGTAAAATTTTTTATGTCTACTCATATGGCCACTGGACCCCATTTGTATCTAAAATTGACAAGGCTGCAGCCTGCAGGACACACAGCTACTCTCCAACTTAAGATAACTTCTCCTATCACAATGAAAATGACATACCAAGTGATTCAATCCATCTATTTTTCTTAATTCCATACATACTCAAATTTGCACAGAGCATTCAGTATATACAGTGCAGATATCTAAAAACGTTTTTTTGAGTATTTTCCAAAAACATGCAACAGCAATGCTGACAAACACTTCAAAAAGTGTGATGTCGCCATGTCGTGCACAACATGAAAAGGTACGAGTCCAAGATGTGTTGGATGCACCTACTATCAGGTGTATAAGCAACACAAGTGCTCGGCAAATGGAATAAAGAAATGTTATACTTGAACAAAATTCCATATGATACTTTTTCAATAATTCATACACAACATCAATAGTTTACAAATAAGTAAAGTTATTATGTAGAACACCATTATATATAGACCACTTCATTTCTGCATACATAGAAGAAAGTAAACGACTTCAATAATTTATCCCATACATTAAAAAGTAGATGATTTGGCACTGCAGCACATACCCACACAACACACAACTCGGGCCCATAAAACATATTTCATATGTATAAAGCATCACCAATGCAAACAACATGCATTCAAATATCCAAGTGGATGCATGCAAGCCATGTGTATACAAGAACATATGAATTGCCAGCATGGAAGCATTCTGTCATCGGATTCCCTAATCATTTTCATAAAACAATGAGCTTCACAAGTTTTCTTAGAATAAAGAGGAAATACAGAAACTTGAACCATACCCTTGCTAACTCCGAGAAGACATCCCAGTTCATTTGGATTCATCTCGTCAGCTGCAGAACATGAACATCTGAAGGCACGTCATAAATGAGAGTATAAGAAAAAAATATTTCTTTTATTTTTCCTTTTTCACTATATACACTACAAACTCTACAAAAATGCAAAATTCATGTTCAAAAAATAAATAAATAAATAAATTATATTAAATAAATAAAAATAAAAACTAAACTCTCCACTTCAGCCCACACAAAAATCCTAAACTAGTAAAAGGCCACTTTGGGAAGTGCCCCCATAAACCAGCTGAAGCCCTCGCCCCACCCACAACATTAGCCCCCCCCAAATCCCCAAGAAAAAAAAGAACAAGAACAAGAACAAAAACAAAAACAAAAACAAAAAAGCAAAAAAGAATTATTGAATGAAGATGAAATTCAACCTAACGGCTCTAGTAAAACTACCAAGAAATTTACTAGCTAAGCCTAGTTTGGCACACCATGTACTGTTCATTGATACGAACACATGAAGCTTACCCCAAATTTATTTTAATCATCACAAACTGTCTTTACTATGAATGTAAAATGAAAATATGAAAGAAAATGCAAATAAATAAACAAATTCACGAACCTGCTCAAATCCCATATATTGTCCAAGCAAGTCCACTTTGGAGGGAGAAGAACATCCACGGGCAACCTTCTCCATTTGGAGCAACTATCACACTGAGCCCATTGATCCGGTTCCCTGGATATAACAGCAAATATTCAGCCTAAATGGGTGCATTCCAACTCAAACAATGAATGAAAAATGCCAAGGTCACAATGAATGGGTATAGCTTCCTAATTTCTCTTTGATTTTCTTGTCCATATTTTTATTGGATTACGAAAGTCGCATTTAATGCTTTTATACATCTTTGAGAAAAAAGAATATTCATATACAGAAGGTCTATAAATTGGATTTGATAGAAGATGTAGCAACCATCATTGGAATGTGGCCTTTGTCTTGGTGCCAAGATATGAAGCATGCATGGTTGGCAGTGAAGTGGTTCATTATGTATATGTAGTAATGCAAATGGCCAGCTACAACAAAAATAAGTGGCATCCTTTGAGAAGTGTAAACGATTTTTCTTGGCATCCCTTCAATCATCTCTATAAATGAGTTTATGAGATGGGTTGAACGTGAGAGAGTAAGAGCTATCAAAGGAGTGTGTAATAGAGGTGAGCGGTGTGAGATATAAAACTACCAGTAAGCAGGACACCTATGGGGGTTGGGGCTCAAGGACTCAATTCCCTTGAGCTGGGGTCTCGGGTATTGTTGTCTTATTAGTGTATTTTCATCTCATCACTGCAGTCCCTATTATTCAAACTAGATTTTCCTCTCTCGCTTGTGGATGTTTATTTGTTCTTCCTATTCTGTGTCGAGTTTATTTTATTTTTCTTTCATTACTTAGGGTGGGTTTATTCCCAACAAGTGGTATCAAAGCTGATGATTGAAGATCCCAAGGCATGGCGGTAGGCTCATGCCAAAGATCATGGGGGTGGTGATTCAGTGCCATGGAAGCAGATCTAGGCTAAGATTGTTGATACTGAGGCAAGGCATGCACAAGAGAAGAAAAAATGGCATAGGGAGTGTAAGGTATGTGTTCAAAGATTCTCGCCAAGTGGAGGTGGGAGTAGTGCAGATATCCTGTGGTTATGCGATATAAGCACCCAAGTAAGAGATGCAACTATAGAAAACTTACCCACGGACTGAATGGGGTGATTGTTGGGTTCTTTTGTCTGCATTTTTATTAGAGTATAAAAATTGCATTCAATGATTTGATGCATCTTTTCTTGAGACAAAAGAATATGCATATAAAGAAGGTATATAAATTACATTTGCTAGAAGACATAGCAGCCATCATTGGAACGCGGCCTTTGTCTTGAGTGTTGAGCAAGGATGGATCTAGGGTGTGTGGAGGGGGGCGATCACGCCCCCAAAAATTTGAAAATTATCATATATTATATTAGAAAATTTAAAATAATTAAAAATTATAAGGATTTTCACCCCAAAGATACTTTCGCACCCCCATAGTGATACTCCTGGATCTATCCCTGGTGTTGAGATATGATTGCATGCATGGTTGGCAGTGAATTGGTTCATTATGTGGTGATGCAAACGGCTCGCTTTTGGAAAAAAGAAAAATAAGTGGGGTATCCTTTGAGAAGTGTAAAAGATTTTTCTTGGTATCCCTTCAACCATCTCGGGTATAAATATGAGTGTATGAGATGGGTTGAAGTTGAGAAAGTGAGAATCTCACCAGTGTAGTAAGAAAGTGAGAGCTGTCAAGGTGTGTGATAGAGGTGAATGGTATGACATGTAAAATTACAAGTCAGTGGGAAGCCTATGCAGGTTGGGGCTGAATCTGAAGGACTTAATAACCTTGAGCGTGGTTCTTTGAATGGTGTGAGATTTACAAGTCAGTGGGAAGCCTATGGAGGTTAACCTTGAGCATGGGTCTTAGGTATTGGTGTTGGATTAGTGTATCTTCATCTCATCATTGAGTCTCTATTAGTCATGGTGAATTTTCCTTTCTCACCCATGGATATAGGCATTAGTGTCGAACCATGTAAATTTATGTGTTTTTCCTTTGTTGTGTTTATTTTATTTTATTTTTGCTTCTATTACTTGGGTGGGTTTATTCCCAACAAGTGATATCAAAGCCAATGGTTGACGATCCTGAAGCATGGCACTAAGCTCATGCCAACAGTCACGGGGGTGGTGATTCAGTGCCATGGAAGCTGATCCAGGCTGAGATTGGTGATACTGAGGCAAGGCATGCACAAAAGAAAAAATAAATAATCGCATGGATGCAGGAAAGCCATACAACGGCACATATCTACAGGAGTATAAGGTATGTGTTCAAAGATTCTCGCCAAGTGGAGTTGTGAGCTGTGCGGATATCCCATGGTTACAGGATATATGGGCACCCAAGTGAAGGGGTGTCAGGCAGCCAGGTGGGAAGTGCAAATACAGAAAATTTACCCACATGGACAGAAGGTGGTGCCTGTTGAGTTTTTTCATCCACAATTTTATTGGAATATAAACGTTAGATTTAATGCTTTGACACATCTTTTGTTGTGACAAAGAAATATTCATATAAAGAAGGTATACAAATTGGATTTGCTGGAGGATGTAGCAATGATCATTGGAACCTGGCCTTTGTCTTGGGTGTCGAGATATGATGGCATTAAAGTGGTTCGCTAGTTGTGATGCAAACGGCTAGCTTCGGGAAGAAGAAAAATAAGTGGAATCCTTTGAGAAGTGTAAAAGGTTTCTTGGTATCCCTTCAACCACCTCATGTATAAATATGAATGTATGAGATGGGATGAAGGTAAGAGTGGGAGTCTCTCCAATGTAGTGAGAGAGTGAGAGTTGTCAAAGGGGTGTGTGATAGAGGTGGAGTGTGGAGATGTAAAATTACCAATAAGCTAGAAGCAAGGGTCAATTACCTTGACCAAGTGTCTTGGGTATTGGTGTCAAACTAGTGCATTTTCATCTCATCACTGTACTCTATTATTAGCGGATTTTCCTCTCCGCCCATGGATGTGGGCATTGGTGTTGGACCACGTATATTTATGAATTATTCCTTTTTTGTGACTCTTTTATTTATTTTTTGCTTCCAATGATTGGGTGAGTTTATTCCCAGCAAGTTCTAATGGGGACCTAGCAACAATAAACCAGTCCAGACAATTTTATCTACAAAATGTTCCTTCATAGTTATCTTACATTTTCCTGATATATTTATTACTAATTTTAACCCCAAAAAATGCCAATCATGTATTTATGACAATTGTTTACAAAACGAATTACGAAAATCCTTACCCCGATTCTCGCACTATGAATGTAGTCTTCTTTCCAAAAACTGGTGGTTCCTAAATAACATGAACACCAAGAAATTATTGCGGCATTTGAAATTCAAATTCTCTAGAAGTTAAGAGTAGCAAATACCAAATAAGTGACTTTGTGTATTATACAAACAACAGCTTCCAACTGGATTTACTCACATCATATTCTTCAAATTCATGGTTGTCAATCATTACAACAGTTGGCTTGGCACTTGGGGGTGGGCGGAGCAATTCCTGTGCTTCTTCCCATGTGAGTCTCAGCTCCATAGCCTCTTCATTATGCAAGAGTAGCCTCTTGCTTTTGGACCCAATGTTTCGATTCCTCTTTTTCTCTAGGATCGGCCTTAGCTGCTGTGGCGAGTCCTCATTTGTCCTGCCTCCATGCTTCTCATTTAAGGCCAACAAAAAGCATCTCAATCAACAAAAGTCAAACACTCAAAGTCAAACACTCAGACTAGGGCTGCAAACGAACCGAGTCGAGCCGAGCTTTGCTGAGCTCAAGCTCAGCTCGTTTACTTATCAAGCTCGTTTATTGAGCTCGAGCTCAGCTCAATAAGAAACTGGGCTCGAACTCGGCTCGTTAATATTAATGAAATTAGAGTTCGGCTCGGCTTGGCTCGGCCCAATAAATTTTTTTTTAATATTATTTATATTATTTAAATAAAAATATTTAAGTAAAAAATATTATTTATATTATATTTATTATATAATTTAAATAAAAATAAATAAGCCGAGCTTATGCGAGCTCGAACTCGGTTCGTTTACTAAACGAGCCTAATATTCGAGCCGAGTTGAGCCGAACCGAACCGAGCCGAGTCGAGCCCTTAACGAGCCAAGCCAAGCTTGTTCATGAACAATTCGGTTCATTTGCAGCCCTAACTCAGACAAAGCAATAAGGAAAGGAATCCTTCATTCCGTTCAGCATAGGAAGCACAAATACAGATACATACATGTGACACGACACGGACACACTGACACATCAATTTTCAAAAAATGCAGGATACGACACATATGAGATACATGCAAAATATATAGTTTAATATATTTATTATGTCAAATATATGAATATTTCATTAAAAGATAATAAATAATGCAACATAACACTAATTCCTTAATTTAGAGAAGAGGATAGTATGTATAAATTTACATTGGGCTTGCTTGGTTTGTATCTCAAGATACAATTTTTGAGAAAAAATTTCAAAATTTTGTTTGGTTCAAATTTTTTGAAAAAAAAGTTCCAAAATCACTCTCTCCTACACATCAATCAATCATTTTTTCTCTCTCCTCTCTCCTTCTCAATCACTTTTTCTCTCACACACATCTACTCAACTACAACAAAATATCAAATCATTCCAAACTCCAAAAATTTTATTTTTTTTTTGATAAATAAAATTCCGAAATTATTTTCAAAATATACAACTACACAAACCAAACTCTTTTTAAAATATACAACTAAACAAACCAAAAATATTTCTAAACTCTCTCCCCAAAATTTTTTTTGAAAATATATCTCAAAACACAAACCAAACACACCCATTGTTTCTCTTTTTATCATTGTATCCTAAATTATTTTATTCAAAACTATAATGTGTTTTATGTGTCAGACAATGAATATGTATCTCCCCTAAGTGTCCAAAGCATGTCTGGTTCTAATTTTTTTAAAAAAAATAATATAACACATTTGGACATGTGCCTAACACATGTCTGGAAGTGTCCAATTAGCGTCCCCTATCGAACACATACAGGACACAGATGCAAACACGACACAAACATGCTTCTTAGCTTTAAGCAATTGGGAAAGGCTGGAGACCACTTACTGTAGGCAGGTTGTCATTAACACCAGAAACAAACCCTTCTCCAGAGGGAACACCATTAGCAAGGGCAGATGTTTGGCCATCCTATTTGTTTGATACGAACAATACATCAGTTTGTTAACATACAAAGGCTATGTTTGTTTGGAGGTACATGGCATCGGGATTGGACTAATAATCCACAATAAAATGCGTAATCCTATGTTTGGATAAGAAAATTGGGGTACGGACTAATAGTCTATCCAGGCATGGTATCCCCTATATGGGGGGACTATTAAATCCTTGGGAGGGGATACAAATCAAGGGATTAAAAAGGAATTCAGATTAGCTGCCCAATTACAAAAACAACCCAACTGTGTTGTTGCTCCTGTAAAAGCGATTGCTGTATTTTCATTGTGTGAATCTCAGACAACAGGAAAAGCAAATTAAAATAAAATAAAATTAATAATTTTAATTCAGCCAATATATGCTATGATAATCACACTAATTCTTTTTTTTTCCCTAACACAAACTTTTTGTTTTTTTTTCGTTATATAAATAAACTATTTAAACAGATACTATTTCACTGTTTTTTTTTTCCCAGAAACATATTTGTTCTTTGAATAACACAAACTGATTTGTAATAAAATAGGTAAACTGAAAAATATGTTTTTAATAAAATAGGAAAATAGACACTACACTTTTTTAATAAAATAGGAAAACAGAAAATAGACAGCAGATCGGAAAGATTGAGTTGATTGCGGACGATCAAAATCTGCTACTGCATCTGTCAAAAATTTCTCCAGTGGTAAAGAAAGGTCTGGAGCAATAGCAGACAAATCCACCTTCAAAAATAGTACAGGATGGTATAAACTTCCCATTAATTATAATAGGGTTATTATGGTAATTAAATAATGCATCCTATGTTCTTCCCATTTCATTTCAGTCACCTCAAACAAAAATGTGGTTGAATAGTGTATTTTGTCAATCCATCCTTCCTAGGTCAATCCAAACATAAGAAAGGACATACAATCCAACGGGATTGATAATCCCAGGACTAACAGTCCTACGATACCATTCCCATCTAATCCAAACCGTTCAAACAAACATGGCCAAAAAATAAAAGTAAGTTAAGGGCATAGAAAGCAGAGACGACAATATTGATGCCTACAAGGCTTGACCTGCATATCAACAAAGTTAGACTTCCGAAAGCCCATGACAAGTTTTCCCCCAGGATCTATCCGACTAAAAGTCACTGCAAAAAGATTATATATGTAAGATAAACAAATACAAATCAGATCAGAGAAATATTAAAACATGCAGGAGAAATTAACTTCCCTTAAAAGAATTATATTACAAATAAATTAGGGTACCAATCGAAGGATGACATTGACTAAATTCAAAAATAAGGAGTTTGTTTCGGATATTAACATAAACAAGTAGTATCACACACCAATTATCAATCATTGATCCCATCAGCTGGATGGATGATTGTGGAGAAAATAAAACTAGCTATGGAAGACTAACAACTCCAACATAATATATGAACCAAGAGGGTAACACTGCATCGAAATGTTGAATTCCTATACAGTAATCCTGAGGAATGCAAGCAAAGCTTATAAAGATAAAAAAATCCATTACAAGAAATTTAAAATTATGATTAGTATACAATCACAAAAAATAATGCCAACAGCAATCTGCATATCAGAAGATACATAATATATAATGCGCTCTAAGAAGATAATGGCATGAAGAATACCAGTGTCACCAGCTTGTAATTGCATATTCTGCATGCAAGGGGTTACACCTTCTAATACATACATCCGGCTGTTATTATTGGGCCAAAATCTGAACTGGAATGTCCACTCTCTCCCCTTTATTATATCCTGAACTCTTATTGGTAAACCGTCTGATTGAGAAATAGGAGGAAAATACGCCTGCATCAATTTGCAATTTATAGATATTTAAAGCTACGGAGAAAAACAGAAAAGAAACTTCACAATGGAAGAAGGGGCAGAAAAGTTACTAGGGAGCAAAAAAGGAGCTTCTACTTTCACACACCAAAAACTCTTAGCACACATCTTCTTTCAATACACACACTAAATGTGTTTGCAATGAGGGCTACTATTAGCAACTACCTTATTTCTTTGGAACTGCTCTTTCATTATTTTTTAATTCCAGTTTTGTCCAAACATAAAGTTCCATTTTTATCCTCATCCGTAACCTTCTAACCCTAATTTCTCAAACCCTAACCCTAATCCTACCAACCATTCCATCACATCCGGCTGCCGCCCACCTTTCCTGTCACTGTCTGTCACCTATCTCCTCCACCTCCAACCACCTCCCCCACCCCATGACAATCTCTTGCAGCCCCCGCCAATCAGCACCCAACTCCGGATGAAGACGAAGAGGCTTGTCGGGACCGAGACCACCATCGTCACCACAAGCGATGAAGATCAGTTGGAGCTCTCAACCAATTAATCAACAAAATTGAACAAGTTTCACCAAAATGAATGAAACTTGGTAAGAAAAACTTTCAGAGTCACCAAACAAAGTGCAAATCAAGATCAATCAAAGCAAAACAAGAAGACCCACTTAACTGAGATTGCAAAAAATTATAAAATACAGATTTTGGGGGACCAAATCACCTTAAATTGGGAGACTAGAGTAGTGATCTAGTTTCAATTTGGGTTGTCCATTGCAGGACCTCCTCTTCTACACACATTTGCGATTGGTAGATCTGGTTTGTGGATCGCAATTCATTGGTCGTCGATGGCGGTAGCAGCCGTGAACGACGGGGGTGGTGAAGGGCGAGACTCAATGGTTGGCCGGTGATGGGATCCTTGGCTCTCTCTCTCTCTCTCCGTGTTTTTTCTTCCTTCTGCTTTTTTTTTTTTTTTTGTGGTCAAGAGCTATTCTTCGTCTTCCTTCGTCAAACGAGGTTGGAGGGCTTCGACGGACGATGGAGAAGGGTTGGTGGAGTCTTCGGTGAGGGTGGAGGTCGCCGACGATGAAGGGCTACCAGCGGTGGAAAGGGTTGCCAGAAGAAAGAGAGTTGGGGGTCCAAAGAACAGGGGTCCAGTTGGTATTAAGGTGGGGGTTCAAAGAAGTGGAGGGTCCCAAGCAAATAGGTGGGGGCATTTATTAGCCCTCTTTTGAAATTTGATATTTTACTCAATTCATAACCCACCATGTCAAAAATACCCCCAATCTTTTTCAATCTTCAAACCCTAACCCTAGTTGGCCAGCCACCCGCATCCTCCCTCAACCACCCCAATCCCTCCCTCACCAGCCACCACCACCATTGCCATTGCAAACCACGCCACCGTGAAACCCATCTCCACAAACCCTTCCATCTCTACCACCAACAGCTACCGACCGCGAAACCCATCACCACCATCATGGAATACCAAGAGAGAGAGAGACAGAGAAGAATGTTGCCGTACAAAATACAATATCTAAATGGTAACCTCTATTTGAACTTAGTTTTCCGAACCAATGACCCTTGATCGATCCCAGAGTTTTGAACTGGAGGCTATTGTTCGATCCTGGAGTGTCAAACCAATAATTGTGATATGCAAAACCAAACTTCTCTCTCTCTCTCTCTCTCTCTCTCTCTCACACACACACACACACACACACACTTGGCAATGATGGGTGGTGGCGTTGGGTGGTTGTGCAGGGGCTGGGTGATCAAGGAAGGTGGAGGAGGGGTTGGGGGGCCTTGATGGTGGTAGTTGGTGGCAGTGGCAGGGGAGGGTGATGGTGTCTGATGGCTGGTGGTGTGTGGAGTGAGAAATTACATTTTAAGATTTTTTTCCAAAACGGTAAATTGATTAAGGGATGAAATTGTAATTAAAAACAAAAGCACTAAATGTGTGAACTGAGGAATTTTGGTGTGTGGAAATAGAAGCTCCCAGAGAAAAGCCATACAATAAGTTATTAAACTTACTTCAGCACATGCTTTTGGTAGCACCAAACGGCCAATTCGACCAGCATCACTGGCACTCAAAACCTTCTCGAACAACGGCACAATAGTGGAGTTCAAACTTTAAACGAAAAATTTAAGGTAAACACTATGAAGCAATGGATAAACAAAAAACAAGTGTATCAATATCACAACAGATCTGATTATAAAACTATACTATGAAAACCAATAATGACAAAATCATGGATACTCTCCAGATATTTGCTGCAGTTCTTGGTCGGTAATCCGTGGCCAGTATCGAGGAAGCAACTGGCTACGGCCTCGCCCGTCAGCAGGAGGCCTCGGAACACGTGTCTGAGCAAACATTCCCTTATTTGCCTCTGAGCCAATGGTGAGGCCAGTTTTGACAGGCTTGGGTAAAATAGTGCGTGCCCTTTGCCCTTGTTGAATGGGAGGAACTTTGTTCTGTTCCCTTCCTTCCATAACCCCACTAGGAGAAGAAGGTACTCGAGAATTTGAAGTATCCAAAGGACTCCCCAAAGAGAAACCCAAGGATGGCTGGGCTGGTGATTCATACATATCTTTAACCCCTAATATTGGCCTGCTATTTTCTGGTTTAACAAAAATAGATGGTCCAACAGACTGTTGCATCATCTCTGGAAAGCTTGTACCACCTTCCCCAATGGGAAGCATAATTTCTTCTCGTTTGATTTGCCCTATAGATGAATTATTGTTGGTTCTTGGAGTTTGAGGGAAGTGGCCGAGCTCTTTTGCATCCATAGTTTTGCTCAACTGTACAAGCTTCCCCTTATCAACACTAGTACCACCCATTCTATTTGCAACAAAAGAGGATTGTGGATCACCAATGTTGTTCACTGGCAATGGGCCAAATCCATTAGAAATACCATCACTTTGAATCTGCATAAATAAGTTATAGAAGGATGTGAGATACTTGAGTGTTTGATGGACAGATTATTTAAACACAGTATCCTGTATATAAAACATCCAAATTCAGCGATAACATACAGGAAAATAACCAAAGCAAGCTATATCTACAGGAAAAATAACTTTTTTCGTTTCCCAAAATAGCATCACACTTCTCCATAATCTCCATTACAAAATTCATGTAATTATTGGAACCAAAACAATATTACAGCTAATATTATCAAATCCTTAATTAAAAAATCCATCACTTCACATGGTTCGACTCGGGTGGGGTGAATTAACAGTTGCTAAGTTTACTGGCTTAATTGCATTATTAATTTGGCTTTTTTTTTTTTTTGAATAAATAAATGAATTAATCTAAAATAAGCAAGATGTACATACTTGTATCCAGCTGGGACTTAAAGCCCATACTTCTCTCATTGGGACTACATGAGATAATAATCAAGCTAATAGCTGATGGTAATAACATTACTAATCTACTTTTGGCATTTTGTAATGAAATACACAGCATATATGAAATGCTTTTTCCATAAATGTATCATTTATAACCAAACAACAGGGATGATATTTACAAAACCTACAAAACATATCCAATGCAGGAAATACATTATTTTTTAGGAAGATTAACACATGTAATGTGATGTTTGGGAAATGTTAGCTAACTAATTACCTTAATAGGTCTCATTGAGTGAGCCTCCAAACTCTTTGTGCAGCTTATACAACCTACGCCCCCCAAATCCAGGATGTCATGCAAATGCTTAGAAGCAATGCATCCACAGTGGATATGCTGTAATACAATATTCAACTACACTTAGAAACCACAACAAAATTAGAGTGTTTGGACAAGTTAAGGACAACCAGGATTTCAAGTTACCTTTCCACATAATCTGCAGTCCCTCCAACCAGATTCCTCTAGATGGAATTTCTCACAGTAAATTAGATTCTCATAAGCAGATCTACAGTCGACACGAGATGACATTAACCATGGTTGAAACAGAAAATAAATTCAAGATTACCAAAAACATAGATAAATAAATAAATAAAATAAGCTATGAAGCAGTCTGACAAAAGAATTTTGGGAGAAGAACAGATAATTTGCTTTTTTTTATTTGAACTGATACAACAAATTTTGCTTTTTTAGTAAAAGCAATAATACAAATTACTGGTTTTATGCATTCAGAAAAAGGAAGAAACAACTGCTGATCCAAAAAAATAAAATAAAATAAAAATACAACCACATCCCTAGAGTAATTACAAGTTTCAAGCAATAACAATTGCAACTCCTGAAGGACTTCAATTAACTGCAATATAAATAGAAAAAAGAAATAAATTAACCCCTGATACTTGTGTTGATCAACCAACAAAGGTAATCTCTAACGTTATGTTTGGTTGAGGGATTTGGGAAGAGATTTGGAAATGGAAAGGGAAAGGGAAAATGCGTGTAAAACTAGGTGAAATATAGGTATATTTTATTCTCATTTCACCTACTTTTTCCTTTTCCCTTTCCCTGTCAATATCCCTTCCCAAATTCCTTAACCAAACACAGCATAAAAGAATGGATCATGAGATGTATGAAAATATAGAAGGAACTCATAAGAATAGGATGCCACAGCCTATAAGTCAAATCTACAAGAGAGATAATGACAAAAGCAACACTAGATTGAGCTGCTAACAATGCAGGAACAACTGAGCAAGAGCAAATCATAGACATAGACAAAAAAATCTTAAAATTGATTACGCAAATATTTATGATTACAATCAAAAGACATAAAATGGGACTTTTCCAAGCTAAAATACCAACAAATTTCATTACCGCAAATATTGTGCATGGACCCATATTGGTAAACTACAAGTGCAACCGATAATATGTTAAATTTCAATTGTTTTAGGAGGTACTTTTAGGCCAATTATATAAATTTCCATCTTCTTAAGTCCTCATCTTGCCTCTTTCTAAATATCTTCTATCAAGGACTGAAAATGAAAATTAAATTTATGTTATAGCAGTAGCTGCTACTCAGCATTATTTGGCCCTAATCACACCCATTTTTATAGACCGCATTTCAAAGGGAAAAAATGGCATTGAACTGGATTAAAATAGTAAAATTTTGAACTTCTAATCAAAAGAGAATGTGGAATGAAATTGACTGCACAAACTAATAAATCTTACAAACTTCTCATAATAATGAGTGTGTCACGTTATAGTAAAATTTTGGAAACAGGAACATAACCAACTTCAGTAATATGATAAGTAAGTAAGAAAAGCTTGCAAAATTTGTTAATTTGAAATCAAAAAATTGATTAGTTGGTTTGAAAATTTTCAAATTTCAATATAGAAATGAGCCCCAAGAGAGAAAATTCATCAATTCAAAAAAACCCCAAGAAGAATCTAAAAGTAGAGATCCAAACCCACAAATCCAACATGAAATCTACTCTCAGATACAGCAGATAAATAAAATTGGAGATGGAAAAATTACCCGCAATTGAAACAGAGAGTAGCAAATCCACCAGATTTCAAGCCCCAACCATTCTTCCACTCGATCGTGGCCGTCACCCGACAAGCTTCGTTCATGCAAATCTTGGCCATTCACCCAAATCAAACCTAAAAAACCAATCTTCACCTCATTGAAAAAAGAACACCCAAATCAAAAACCCTAAAACCCCCATCGCCAATTGCTGGACCCAACAACACATAACAAAAATCAAATCGATCCCAAACCAAAAAACGAAGACAAACAAGTTAGTGAGATTATAGAGAATTGAGTAGAGCTAACCTTATGCGAATCTATGAAATGGAATCTCGAATGCGACATTCACATGAAACAGAGTTGATATGAGTTCGTTCTGGTATACTTAATTTTGCTCTGACATTAGAGGGAGAGAGAGAGAGTTGGAAATCTATTGAAGTGAATCGAGAAGTGGGGTCAACTCGAGGTCAGTGGGTGTGAGATAGAAATGGCGATGGAGGGTTTTCACACAGAGAGAGAGAGAGAAGATAGATATAGAGATGTAGAGAGAGAAAGGGGGGTTGAGGAGAGAGAGAAAGCGTGTGTGCATGCAAAGCAAACAGATGCACAAAATGCATGCACGACACTTGAAGCCACCGCGAGGTCGTCTACTCACTCTCTCTCTATAATGCGCTTTCTCTCTTTCTCTTTCTCTTTCTCTTTCGGACAGTGATATGGTAACCCGACGGTTTCGTGGATTCTCACGACTTGTGTATTCCTGATGTCAATTTTACTCCCCCAACTCTCAAACTTGAGTCCATCAAAAAAAGTGGTAAATGTTAGGGGCCTGTTTGGTACAGGTTATGTAGTATTGTTTTTTTCAGGTTCGATTTTTATTTGAGAGTATTGTTTGGATTTGTCGAGGTTTACAATAAATCTCGATTCAATGATTTGAATTGTTTTAATATTTCGTGTATAAAATTAGATGAATCTGATAAAATTATTTTATTTTGTTCTTTTATTATCAACTTTTGACTTTCAATAAATTACAATAAACAAGTCATAATCTAATAAAAGTTGACGTACGTACACAAACCTAGCATTAAAATATATAAACAAAAAATTAAGATAAACTAGATTCATTTTAAATATGGCCACAGTATATTAAAATTCATTAATTTTAAATCTATAATCTACTCTTTATTTTTAAAATGAAATTTTAATTAGCTTTTAATGATAACTAGAATTATTACTGGGCATAAAGATAGTGTGGGTAACATTAAAGTTTAAACTTTTATATATAGCGATAATGATTATAAAATATTAAAAAAAGTATAATATTGGAGAGAACTTAATCTGTTGAAATTTTAACTTTAATCTGTTTGTCAGTAAATAAATTTTTATGGTTTCTAAATTTTAGTTTAAAATTTAAAGGAGAGAACTTAAAAAGAAAATATTTAGAAATAAAATTATGAAAATGCTAGAAACTTTAAAAGAATTATCAAATATTCTACGCGGTGTGGGTCCCACATACAGTATTGTATATAATATTCGATAAAATAAAATAAAATAAAATTTGGTGTTTAGGATTGCTGATAAAATTAATGTTAATTAATGAAACCTTTCCTAATGATTTTCTTTGTATAGTAACTAAATTCAATTTAATTTAAAAGCCAAATATTCAATGTAAAGTTATACAAATTTAATGCTAATTAAATCAATTTTTCTTAATTCATTTATTTTTTATGGTAAGTAAATTAAATTTAATTTCAAATTTCAAATATTCATTGTAAAATTATAAAATATTTTATCTTTAAACCAATAACATTATTATTTTTTTATTTTTTAGATAGGGAGAAACATGATTATCTAGATATATCCTTACTCTTAAAATAATTTTGTTATTTTTTTAAACTTTAAATGGTTTATTGGACAGTGTCAACCTAATTTTTTTTTTTGCCTGTTTTTAAAATGAATAATCATGCTCAAATAGTAACAATTTTTTAAATCAAAGCTGAGTAAGTGACAGAGAGGTGTTGTTCTATCAAAATTCAATATGAGACAACATACAATGTATGAGTGATGTTATAATAATTGTTTATTTTTATTATTTTATTTTACTTATGCATTAGAAATATAGATAGTGATAAGATTAATTACACCAATTTTATATTACTAAAATTTTAAATGGAAACAATTGACCATTTGTTGAATCATAATTGCATGTTATCTCCTTTTTTTTCTTTTTCTTTTTTTCTTTTTTTTTGTGTTGTAAATATGTTTTTTTAGCAATGATTATTGTAATAAGTATTTGTGAATAAACTCAGTTGTTATAAAAAAAACAATTTAGTATGTCTGACAAATGCTAAAAATATAAATAAAAGTTGGTTTTGGTCGGTGGTTTTGCTTGGTTCCTGTTTTCAAAAAATACTTTTCAGAAAATTTTATTTTTTATTTTCTGTATTTTTTTATTTTTAATGAATTGTTTTAATATTTCAAGCAAATTTTTTTTATTTTTTAGACATACCTAACATAAATATACCTAAAAAGTAAAAAATTGGGAAAAAAATCTTTTAAAAATTTACTAAATACCAAAAATAAAAATACAAATATGAGAACTCAATACATTTTTTGTATTTTTATATATTTATTAATTTTTAAAATATTTTTTTACAAATTTTTTACCTTTTAGATACATCTAAGTAAGGTGCATCTAAAAAGTTAAAAAAAATGTTTAAAATTTTAAAAAAAATTCACTAAAAACAAAAAATACGAAAATCAAAAAATACAATTTTCAAAAAACTTAATCCAAAAAGTTCAAACCAAACACACTGTTATTTGAATTTTTTTAACTTTTTGGACCTTTCTACAGACCCACCAAAAAAAAAAAGTAAATGTTAAAGATTTTCATAAATATTTAAAAATTTTCAGTACAAAATTCAAAAGTAAATATTTACGTTTTTGTCATGTGCCAAATAAGTCAGATCTTTTAAAACAATTACTAATTTTTCTCAACGGTCAACTAAATAAATTAAAACCAAATAATCAAAATGTTCTAGCTTAAATAGGATTTTTTTTGTTTTTTTCCCCTGTGGTCCACACCTAACGAACAATTCTTTTTTAAGTAAATCCAAGTAAAATTTTCTTTTAATTGTTAGTTAACTAAATTGATACTAATTGATCAAGTATAGTTGTCCCTTAAAAAAAATGAAAATATCAAAAGTTCAAAGTTTAAATTAATAGAGTGTCATTTTGGGAACATGGTAAAAAGTCACGTTTTTTGACATTTTACCAAAAACGCCAAAAAAGCCATTTGGCAAGTGCCAAAAACGCAGCTGTAAAATTACAAATTATGACTTATGAAAAATAAATAAATAAATAAATCTTTTATGTTGGGTAAGGGTATTTTGGTCATTTTAATTTAATTTGACACCATAAATAAATATTAAACTAAAAAGCAAAAAGCTAGCTTTTACCAACTTCCCAAATCACTTCTAAAAAAGCCAAAAAACTTAGTAAAAAACCAAAAACTAACTTTTTACCAACTTTTCAAAACAATAGGGTGAACTTTTCATTATTCCATTATAATATAATTTACTAATCTCTTAACATCTTATCTCATGGCTTCCCTCCCCCAAAAAAAAAAAGAAATAAAAAAAACCAATGGTGACAATTGTATCCAAAAAAATATGGGAGAACATTATTTTATTGGATAAATTAAAAATTATGACATACTTGCATTTCGTCTCTTAAATTTTTAAAATTCAATAGTTAAAGTAATGCATTGTTACAATTAACATATTTCATTAAAATTTTAGGGTTGTTTACAAAGAGAGTCCTTAAACTATTGAAAAAAATTACTTTGATTCCCTAAATTATAAAAGTGTACAAATAGATCTCCTAAATTATTAACATTTTTCCCTTTGACCTCTTTCGTTAGGGGTTCAATTTGTGAGTTCTTATAGTTTAAATGGCCAATTTGTATCCTTTTATAATTTAAGAGGTAAGATGATATTTTTTAATAGTTTAGGGGGTTTATTTATATATTTTTATAATTTAGAAGATCAAAGTGATAGTACGTAATAGTTTAGGAAGTATTTGTATACGTAATAAAAAAATTTATTAGGAATTTATACAAAATCAAGTTGTGTGTGAAGCATACAACACACATATTGAATTTTTACGATAATAATATTTTTATCTGGTGATCTGGTTTGCATTTTGTTACTAAAATAAGTTAATCAAAATGCAACTTAGATCACTAAATAAGGGTATTATTGTCTTAAAAAAGTAACAACTATGTCATATACTACACATTACTTGATTTTTTTTAAGAGTGCTGCTAATAGCACCTACCAAAATTCTTTGGACCCCTCGTTTCTTTGGACCCCAACCCTAAACCCTAAATTTTAATAATATTTTTTTGGACACCCCACTTATTACCAAATCTATTCATATTCATAATATTTTCACAATGAAATGCACACCCACCTAATTTTTCATCCCTCTCCTTCCCTGACTCACTCAATCTTCAAAGCTTGGAGCTTTGGTCCAGTACAGTTCATCCGACCTCCCCATTGCGTAAGGATGGCAATTCACTCTCATATCCTTCTTCACTACTATCCCATCTGGCAACACGTCGTTCTTTAAAGCTTGCTTTCCGTCAATGGGGATAGGTGGATAGAGTCTCATGGTCTCGCTCAGCGACGCGTGTATGTAAACCATGTCTTTCACTTCTTCGTAGATCGGAGCTTCGGATTTCTCATTGATTTCTTTGAGAATCTCAGTTTCTACATCTGGGTTTTTGGAGACAAGTCAGAAGAACCAGATTAAAGCGTTCATCTAAATGCCTTGAATTCAAGAATCTCGATAGGAGATCAGCAGATTCGAGTGATGATTTTGAATTTGTTCACCACTGTGTAGCCGAAAAAATGTATTTTGTTCAGAACGGTTTTGTCGAACAATAATGATCCTGTCAGCACTGTCTGTCCGAACAAAATTTGTTCATCACTGTGTAACTTGAATCCATTCCAATTCACAACTTAAAATAGCATGAATTAAATCCATTCAAAATACATAACTTAAATCCATTCCAATTCACCTTCTTCACTACTATCCCATCTGGCAACACGTCGTTCTTTAAAGCTTGCTTTCCGTCAATGGGGATAGGTGGATAGAGTCTCATGGTCTCACTCAGCGACGCATGTATGTAAACCATATCTTTCACTTCTTCGTAGATCGGAGCTTCGGATTTCTCATTGATTTCTTTGAGAATCTCAGTTTCTACATCTGGGTTTTTGGAGACAAGTCAGAAGAACCAGATTAAAGCTTTCATCTAAATGCCTTGAATTCAAGAATCTTGATAGGAGATCAGCAGATTCGAGTGATGATTTTGAATTTGTTCACCACTGTGTAGCCGAAAAAATGTATTTTGTTCAGAACGATTTTGTCGAACAATAATGATCCTGTCAGCACTGTATGTCCGAACAAAATTTGTTCATCACTGTGTAACTTGAATCCATTCCAATTCACAACTTAAAATAGCATGAATTAAATCCATTCAAAATACATAACTTAAATCCATTCCAATTCACTCTTTTTCATTCTAAGTTGGTTTAACAAAGAAAATTACATAACTGACTATCTATCTGCATTAATGTTCGGAACCTATGTATTGAACGAAATGATTATGTTCAGTACTGTATTATCGAACATAATTCTAACAGTCAGCAAACCAGTACCGAACAGCTCGAACGAAACAAAAACGACCGAAAACGGCC